CTCTACATGACATGGGCAAAATAATCTGTGCTCATTGTACGCGCTTTAAAGCTATTAACGAGAAAATAAAATTAAATATGTTTTAAAATCCAATGTTAAAAATTGTATGTGGCTTTTTGTTCGGATCCGTTGCCAAAAAGCAAGAAAGAATGAAACGAAAGGGAACGAGAGGCGTTGTTGTCTACGACTCTTACTTAACTCTAGTAAATTTCAGAAAACTAACACCTGTCTGTTTGATCTATACTTTAATTATTATATATGTATTTATAACATAGAACAATTCAAAGCTATGTGTTATTTAAAATATAGTAAAAATTGTGTTTTAATCTAAATTTATATATGTACGTACGTATATAATGTAGGAAAGTAAATTATAAAAAAAATACACCACTCATTTTCATATTTCCTTAAACATAATATTATTTTAAAATTATAATCTGCTAAAAAATACGAAGTCAGCTACGATTGCTAGTTTGAATTTTTTTATTGTCAACAGCATCAATAGAGGAAATTGTATTGAAAGGAAATAGAGAGGATGTAATGCGGAACGAAATGTAGCAGGTTTTTATTGAATGTAAACTTATAAATAAACTAACAAATTAACCTTGTTTCGCTCGGGTATCTTTAATATAAGTAGTATTTATAAAATTATTATAAAAACGGCGCTGTCTTTATAATAATACTGGCAGAAACCGCGTCTTCGCTCGCGCTAAAACTACAAAAAAAACCTTTAAAAAGGTAGGTTCCATACAAACTTTAATTCCCTATTTTACGCTGTTAGGGGATGAATTTCGAAAAATGCTGAAGCACGTATTTATTTAATTGTATTGAAGAGCGTTAATACTAAGTTTCAAGTAATTCTGATCATAAATATTTTTTTGAATTGTATTATAATGTGTTTTTCCGTGGGACTTAGATAATCTCCTGCGGTAAAAAGTAGTCTATGTCACTCTCCAGCCCTCCAACTATATCTATACAAAAAAATCACGCCAATCTCGTTACTCGTCGTCACTTTTGTTTCGACGAAACTAAGAAACACACTTTTACATTTATAATATTAGTATGGATTATAAATATAATTAAAAAACCTTTTAGCAAATTTTATTATTTGGATACTAAATTTGATTCATATCCGATTAGCTGTTATAGCGTAAAGGAATCACACAATCACGTACACACACGTATGTATACGAAATATTATAGTCTAATCTGTATTATTTTCACTTTCAAAGTCTGATGTGATGATATTTAGGCAAGACTTGTGTGAGATCGACTTAGAACAAATAGCCTTACGTGCTCTCCAAGGCATGGTGTATAACAACCTCTTCTTACTAACTCTAGGTCGATACTGATTTTTTAATAGAGATTGATCTTAACACAGTACTTTTTAATAAATTATAATTAATCTCGCAAGCAAAGGTGCAAACCGAAACTAATATTATATTTTCATTTATTTTGTATCGTAGTTTTCGACAACACGTTTGGCACAGTTTGTAGTGCTATTTGCCGTGCCAGCGGTCGCGGGTTCGAGTCACGCGGACATTCATTTGTGTGATGATCACGAATGCCTATACTCCAGTCATAATGTTTATATTTGCAATATGTATTTATTTAAAGTTATATATGTGTAGTGCATCAACTATCTGTTATCCATAACACAAGCCTCGTAGCTTACCACGGAACTAGATGGTGTTGTATGTTAATGTCCCAACATATTTATTTATTTTGGCTCATGTACCTGTTACTCAGTACGTAGCACATGAAAGTAAATTAAAAATGAGTACCAACAGGAGTCGAGAATCTGTGTCGCTGTCTTCTTCATTTTGTATCATACGTTATGAAATATGTTTTTATAAATGAGTAGTTCATGCATGTTTCTGCAGAATTGAATTTGAAAATTTTATCTTTTAAATCTAATATATAAAATTTCCATGTTAGTTACCGTACTCCTCCGAAACGGCTTTACCGATTTTTACCAAATTTTATATGCGTATTCAGTAGGTCTGAGAATCGGCTACTATCTATTTTCCATACCCCTAAGTGATAAGGGTGGCCCACGTTAGGGACGAACCCGAGCGGAGCGAGGGTGAGTCGCTAGTTTTAATATATAAAGGAAATATAATCTCATTGTTAGGGGATTGTCGACGAAGGCTTCATTCCGTAGGGGATAACATTTTTATTTAACATTACGTATTTCTTTTTTTGTTAAAACTTATTTGAGGGTTTAAAAAGATATCAAATATAATACAGTGGTGGGCTTTAGTATTTTTTATATAATTTATTAAGGGGCTAATGATCTGTATAGGTTCTAACTATACCACGAATATATAGAAACTCATGCCGCGATTTTTCTTCGACTTGAGCTCAAATTGCTTATAAACATTTAACGCCAGATCACAGCATGATCAAATGTGTAATTATTACTTTATTTATTATCTAAACCTACATATTATAGTGCATACATATATTATGTGTGTAAAGTATATGCAAATACAAGTGCACTCTATGTTACTTTTACTCTCATAGTCCGGTAGTAGTAGCAGTTAGTCCATGTCTAGTCGACACGACCGGTGAAAAACCGATGAGAGATCACGGGGCATGGGAGTGTAAAACCGAGTGTTCCAAACTCCGTACTGTTACTGACATATAATCCGACTCGGGTCTCGAAACCATTACCTCAGGATCTGCAGCTGTAGTCCCCCACTAGACCAACAAGGCAGTGAAATATTACTACTGCGGCGACATTTAGCTTTAAAATTATTATTTGTATGTATAGATTAGAAGAGCAATCAGTTTTATGTTACAAAATGCATTGCGATTCAACGTTAAACAGGCGCAATGACCAATTAAAAGCAAGCTATGGCGTTGTCATGCGAACCTTCCGCTCATCGCGTCGTTTATGAACCATTATGTTATTTTTATGGCGCTCTGAGATATTAATCATGGTTTATCCTAATTTATTATTAGCTAGCATTCCTAAATAATGTTCTACAGAACGCAATTTTCTACATTCTACAGTGACAGGCTAATATCGCCTCAGGGACGATATGTACTGTAATAAATAATAGCTTAAGTCACTCTTTGATCTATAAACTACTATATATACTCGGATGTACAAAAATTACATCAAAAAAGCACGACAACCAAAGACCACCGTCTTTACCATCATCATAATAATCTATTTTTATATTTACAGTAATTTCTAATCGTGTTTTTGTCTGTGTTTTTATGTATTTTGCTATAATCATTTTTTATTGATATCACTTAAGCTCATAAAAAGCTTTTAAAGAAAAAAATAAGAAAATCAGTTAAACGGTAATCGAAAATCGGTAAAACTAACAGAGCAGGAAAAAGTACTGAACTGTTTTATCTTTGCCAATTTATGTATAGATAGTTGCAACCAAACAAACGTGACCTACGTTTTATGTGGAAGCTAAATTTTAGCTATTCGAGATTTACGACATATTTTTATGTATTTCAATATAAATGAGAAGAAATAAAGAACGGGATCTTAAGAAATTAAACAGTTTAAGACAATTCCTACTCATGATAATTTCCTTGTTATAGTATAATTTTCTGCTGATAAGCTATTTTTAGATTCTAAGCAAATGAAATATAATATAATATAATATATTATCTTATTTTTAACTATTTTCGTTATTTTAAATAAAAGATAGTTTTATTTAAAATGTCAAATATTCGCGTAAATCTAAGAAAGTATTATATTTACGTTATGTTTTTAAAATATTATTTAAATTGCTATTATTTAATTGCTGCTATTGGTATCCATATTGTTATCTTTAATTGGTATTGCCATTTAAGGGGGGAAAGCAGCATTATTGGCAGTTCCACATTACTTGTACTTACATAATTTTTATGTTAACATATTAATATTTTGTTTGGTATATTTAATTTAGCAATTCAGCATATTTTTCATTTTTCTATATTTTTTTATGATATGGAGGTTCTTTATCATTTTTTCTTAAATTTCATGATCCCAAAAAGTGTCATAAAGGATCATTTATGCTCTTTCAAAAAAACATATCTTTGGGAATAATATCCCATGGGAATAAGGTAAGATATAAAAATGTAATAAGCACTGATGTAACATGATTTTATTTTCATTAAATGAAACCAGGAAAGATATTTTCGTTACATATGCATGCAGTTTATTCTATGTATTAACAGTTTCATATATTTCATATTAATTTAACATTTTGTTATTTCGATAGTTTTATACCTACATCAGTACGAGCATCCGAGTAGCCCAGCCTTTTATTGGATACTTGCACTGATTAAATAAAATAAAATATAAAACCAATAACTTATATATGAAAAAAACCTAATATTAGTTGCGAAATTATGTAAATATAAAGTAATTTTACGATGACATGATGATTTGAATTTCCGTCTCCTGACTTATAGCTGATAAGTGATAATCTTTTTTTGAGATATGAAAACTCTAACCCATTTGACAAATAATTGACAGGTAAGACGCTTTTATAGTACAGGATCCAACTACATTATTTGTTATATACAAATTTGATAAGAAATTTAATGTAAGTACGATGAAAATAGACATATAGATTTTATTTTTAAACTGGTGGTAACTTTGAAACAGTAGAAGCGTATTTTGCTTTACTATAGACAACAAACATCAATTATAATATTTTTTTAATAGATTTAAAAACTTTTACAATAATTTATAAACGTGAATACAACTTTATTTTATGTTAAATATCAATATTTCAGCGCTATATATAAAATATTTATAAAATAACACATTAAATAGACGAGTCTATATGCCTTATGAGTTTATTTAATTAACTTATTTATAAACAGTACAATTAATTGTTTCCAAGAAAAATGAAATTTTACTTAATAACAATATAATAAGAAATAAATATATCTATTATTCATAGGCTATATTTGGTAAAACTTTGGCACTAATCATTTTGGAGATCACGTTATGGGTTTGATTTAGATCACAAATAAAATTACACTTCACAGTCGTGGCATGTCGTCGATCTTTTCTTCCTTTCTGCAACATCTTCTACATCATTCTCCCTCAGTTCTTCACTGTCTCTACCGAGTCTTATAAAATGGTCCCTGGCCCTATTTTTCCTTTGAGGGTATCCACTAAGAACCAATTCAGAGCTTTGTTCAAATCCAGGTTTTTCATCATCAGTAGATCTTCCAAGTCTGATAAACTTAGGGTCACGCCCGAATCTTACAAAATTAGAAACACGTTTTGTTACAGGACCATCATATTCGTCTTCGTAAGTTCGAAGCAAGGATATGAGATCATCAGTGGTAAAGCTCATTGGCTGAGATCTACCAAAGCGTAGAAAGCTGTTTCCTCTACGTGTTGGGCGTTGAAAAGCGTCCCGGATGTCCGCCGCTGAAGGTTCTGGTGGGAACGATCTTCCGAATCTATAGAAAAGCATGTTTATTTTAAGTTTTGTCAAAAAGATACTTCAAAAGAATAGTATAATATATAGTAAAAAGATATAGACTAGAATAGAATAGAAAAAAAGAAGAAAAAAGAAATAAAATAGCGAATTTTTAGTATCTATAATAATCAATCTATTTTCTTTTACACAACATTTATATTGTATTTTATTTAAATTTACTTTTGACAAAAAACTAAAAAAAATAGGTGTAGATTATTATTAGCTAAATAGTTGGTATTTAATTGACTGATTGAATTTCGTTTATCAAAATTTCTTCAATTTATAAATAATTTCATATAATTTATTACCTTATCATACTCCGGTCAATGGCACTTCTGCGTCGTGCTTCGAGATCTGGCGACCTCCTGACGGGATTTGCTAAGATATCTGCAATGAGGCAGAGTAGTACTGCAGCTAACATACTTCTGTTCATGGTTCTTTTATCTGTAAAGAAAAAATGATTTACAAAGTGTAAGGTTGCATTTTTATACATTGAGTGTAATAGAAAATAATATATTTGATTAATTTGTAATGATTTATATATAAGGCATTTACTTAAGTGACCTTTGCCGATAGGAATGTGTTTTAAAAAAATTAAAAAGGGCGCGGATATTCATTTGTTTTCCCGCGCTTTTGCACAAAGATGTCGGTACTACCCAGTAGTGACTAGTCACAAATTGTTTGTAATACTAAAATATGGTATAAATTATGTAACTCACTGACGTTTATAAAAGTACTGAATATAAGAATATAAGCAAGGAATATCTCAAAGTTATATTAGGGATCCTACAAAAAATGGTTTGAAAAAATTGCATTTCTATCCTTGCGTAATATCGGATTTAGGATCCCAAGTTCATTAAAATGACACGTCTCAAACTACTTTGAAAGTTAATTTCTTGTAAAGAGCTTTGAATGAAAAAAGTGAGTAAAATATATTTTCTTGGCTGTTAACAAAGTTTAAGTTTTACACTATAAGATATATTTATGATATGTTAATTATGTTAGGACAATGTAGGTACCTGTTAGCCAATGTATCATGGCTCGTATGTAATACTATGCCCCATAACGTTGTGCATTAATTTTAAGTATCCAAGAAAATAAATTTTCAGTAATTATTAACTTGAATGTCTCTTGTGTACTGATTTTTTTTGTATGTTGACCAAATAAAAATAATATTATAGTTAAACATAACATATCCCTTCCCTTCATGATTTCAATGAATTGTTACATATCTTGGTATCTATTTGTGAATTTTGTATTAAAATATCGATATATATAATTTATGCAAATAAAAAGTGAAATTCACAAGCAAAGTCACATGTAGCCATTAGTTTTAAATAAATTACTCGTGCATCACTAAGCTGGTTTAATCCAAAAAAATACTGTGAAATAAAAGAGCATAATATCCTTGAAAATTCGTATGACGCAAGGAAAATGGAGGAATTTCCTGAAAGGTCGGCATCGGAGAGAAGGTCAGTGGTATAGACATGACGGCGCCGGGATATACTACTTGCGATTAAACTACGAACTATGTCAAACATCCTTAGTTGCGCATTGCGTAGGATGTGATTGTGCAGGCAGTCATTCAAATATAGTTATTATTGAATACAGTTTTTTTTGTCTTTTGTTTGTCACATATAATTTAAAACTCCTTAATTTATTTCTCATCTTAAAAAATACATTATCGACGTTGTCGTGGGAAAGGACATTGGAGTTTGTTATTCATACATATAATAAAATTCTAATAAATCGAGGCCGAATCTATAGATTCCTTCACACTGAAAGGGGCAAATAGATTTGAATAATATTTAGTACACACAGTACTAAATATTAACAAGAACACAATGATACATCGAGATAATAGTATGTAGCATACTCGTATGTCACTTCTCGACCTATAAAATAATAATATATATGCATACTAGAGACTCACATTCGCTCGCTCGTTACTTTTTAACGTTTAGTATAAATTTCTTAGACATGAGATATTTCTCCGTAGTTAAAAGTATCTTATATGTTGACCCGGATAACCGGCCATCAAAATCTGCCCAGTGGTTTTCTCGTGATGCCGTCACAAACAGACAGACGAAAATTCTAAAAACTATAGATTCGGCCTCTGTATCAATAATAATGTCTATTTCAATAAGATTTTCCAAAAAATATTTAATGTACAGATTCGGCTTAGTTATAATTTTATTACATGTATAGATGACGGACTACTATAGTAGAGTAGAATATGTGATGGTATAAATTAATATTATATGGTTTTATTCAAGAGGTACACCTACGTAGAGTGACCGAGCATCACTCGGCGTTACACGAAAAGGGTATTAATATTTTTTTTCATTAAAAACACCTATAGGATAGATAAACTTAAAAAGCAAAAGCTTATCTAAATACAAAATTTGCTCCAAATTATTAAAGCCGTTTCCGAGATATACGAAATAAGTTTATACATATATGTACATATATAAAAGAATTTCTCATTTAATATAAGATTCATGATACTTAACTAATCTTACGAGTATTTTGAATTTAAACCTATAATGTAGGTCTCTCTGACTAATCTATAATTAGTCATAGTTTAGATGTCTTAAACTTAGTTATAAGTTTTATTTACCATGTGAAAAGCCTTGAATCTAGACAATTATACTTTATAAAAGTTCCCCGCAAGCTCCTTTAATAGACCAATTACGCTTAGTAAATTGTATTAGAATTCGCTTTCTGTAGATTTGCATAGTGCTTAACAGATATTGATTAAGTTAACACAAACTTCGTAACTTTACTTTATTGTTAATTCAAACTCTATACATTCGATTTAGGTAATTACACGTACAATATTGAACGTTTTCTAAAATTGTAAACGACGGCTAAATTTGTATATAGGTACCGAATTGTTTCTAATAGAATAAAAACGAAATAATTTATTTATATTTTTTTCCTATGTACCTTGCACATATATTAAGGAAAAGTACTACTAGAAATTAACGTGCTAACTAGTGATTTATTGTGGCCCTAGGATTCGTTTGTATATTATATACAGACAGCGCCTGTGGCAAATTTGAGTACTAACAGTAGTATATGTAATTCTTTAGGTCTTAGTAGGTACATATATCTGTGTATTAAATTTGATACAAATCCGTCTAGCTATTTTAGCTTGAAGGAGTAACAAACATACATACATATACATACAAACTTTTGCAATTATGATGTTAGCACATAAGTTGATGAACTATGAATATGACTTGAAAAATAGATAGTAACATATGAATATGGAAAATATTACATAATATTTATTATATAACATTTTCTAGTGTTAGTTTTGTCTATGTACAAATAAATGCGTGTATAAAGCATTAAGTAAAATCTAGTATAGCTGTAAATTAAATCACTCTTTAAAGAGTAGGTATGTGTATATTTATACATATAAATAAATTCGGGGTCGAATCTAAAATTCGAAGTCGAAAAATTTACATTAAATATTTTTTGGAAAATCTTATTGAAATAGTCATTATTATCAATACAGAGAACGAATAAGTATATAGTTTTTAGAACTTTTGTATGTCGGTCTATCTGTGACTGCATAGCGAGAAAGCTACTGGACAGATTTTGATGAAATTTAGTATGATGACAACTGGTTATCCGGGTCAACATATAGGATACTTTTTTGCGGGAAAATATCTCATCTCTGAGAAATCTATACGTAAACGTTATATAGGTATAGATATTTTATTTAGTTTTTATATTTTACTTTTGTTGTATATTTTGATAACTGATTTATTCATGATCGCGAATAACTAAAGTATTTGCAATATCAGATATAAAAGTGTATAATATTAAAATATATAAAAAGTTTTGTAACAAGCTTCATAATCTATAATTTTGGAAATTAATGCTTTTATAAGTTAGAAATATTAAAAGTCAATCAATTGTTTCGTTTGAAACGCGAATTTTCCAAAGCCTGTTATATGTTTATAGTGTTTCTTGTATGTAATTTATACTTTTTTGCAAGCTTTTATTTAACAAGCAGTGTCTTTTAGTTTGTTAGTTGATAAGTTTGTTTAGATTAAATCAGAGTTGATACGTCATGTTGGCTTAGTTTCCGATGGCAATTTTTTTTATAGATTTTTGAATTAACAGATTTTTTAAGTTTAAATTTACCTTATGTATTTTCTCAATAATATTACGTTTTACCTTTAAATTTTAGAAAAAAAAATTACATTTTACTATATTAAATAAAATTTGAATACTAAATCTTCTTTCGAAGCAAATTATATAAATGTAAGTGAATGAATCCGCGGCCTAAGCGACTGAGAGATAAAACGGATATAAAGAGCGAATTAGTCCTTACAAAAGCATCATAAAACACTGACACTCAAAATTTTACAACTTATGTTTATGAGATACATTAAGAATAGCCGCAGTTGCTTTTTATTTATGATGTTTATGTTTATGATAAAATAAAACACTTTAAATTATAATTTACTTACACACGATCATTTTATTACAATTATATATTATTTCACACACTTGCGTCTCTTTTTTAATATATTTATTCGCTGTTATAAGCGACTTGCCCTCGTTCCGCTCGGGTGCGTCCCCAGGTATATTTTTTTGAGCGGAGCCCTAATTGTTTTTCTAAAATAAAAGTAACCTAAGTTACTCCTTATAACATCAGCTATATACCAGTAAAAGTCCCGTAAAAATCAGTCTAGACGGTTCGGAGATTAGTCGGAACAAATAGACAGACAAAAGTTTTAAAAAAATGTGTTTTTCTTATAAATTTCTGTATATACATAATTCCATATGCATATAATAAAAACTGTTAGTTTGATATTACAAACAGACATTTTAATTTTATTTATCTGTATAGATGAATTTGACGAAAAAATTTAATTCTTGTAGGGAATCTAATATATCTGTCGATTTCTCGTAGCAAATAACGGAGACACTCAATAAATTATAAATCCGATATATTTTATAATATTTTTTCCAGTTCCTATCCAACGTGTCTCATCGACGACGGTAGTGATACCATATATAAAAACACATTTTTTTATCAATGAAAACGCTATAATTGTACCAAGACGATTCTTGGCCAGTGCTTCTATACAAAATTGGGTGCTTCTATAAAAAAAAAACCGCGCTTATTATATACATTATTGTCATATCGAGGGCCTCATTCATTGTAGGATAACATTCTTTTGTTCCATACAATGATAAACATGAGCTTTTGTGAATTGAAAATAATAAAATTAGAAATAATTTTTCTTTGAAAAATAATTTGCATTCAATTTGGATACGAAATTCTGTTAGGTTAATAACGATGAAATTGATTAAATATTACGATTTCTATTCGTGATGTAAATATATCTCATAATTTTCTTTTAAATTTTAATTTTTTTTTGTTTTTTTTAGATATAGTTACACCTA